TCTATCGGCTAAAGTCGGCAATAACTTTGAGGACAAGCGACGGTAGCTCGGTCGGTATACTTCGCTTACGGACTGAAGCCACGGAGTCTGTTGGTTTTTGTTTTTGATGGTATATTAGTAAAAATATTGTGTTTTTGAACATTATCTATTTTCTTGTCTTTATCTAAAAGCACCATCTTCTTTATTTTTCAAGACGCAACGTTTCGAAGACTGGATTCTGTCTTTATCTTCAGGTAAAATTTCCCTCGGGACCGGAGATAGGAACTAGTTCTATCGATTAGACCCGACTGAGTAGGTTCCACCTGGAGAAGGAGACAGAATCCAGTCTCCGAAACGTTGTGTTTTGAAAAATTTTAGATAAAGATAATGTACAGAAACATAATATTCGTGCTAAAGATCATAAAGTCCTAAGTGTTCACAATTGCAATCAATAGATGTCCTATTGTATCTTAGGCTTATTATGTTTCCCTCTGTGAACCGAGAGGGGCGCTATGCTACAAGCCGGAAGGTCGTATGTTCAAGTCCCGATGAGGTCATTGGATTTTTTTCAATTGACCTAATCCTTCCAGCCGCACTATGGCCCTGGGGTCGATTCAGCTTCTAACAGAAATGAGTACCAGGGAATTAATTAAATAATTTTCCTGGGAGTAAAGCGCGGCCGGGCGCGTAGGGCTGACAGCCCTACCGCCTTCTGTGAACCGATTGTCTAGATAATGTGGGAGCCTCAACGTCTCACAACCCTATGGGCCTTCACGGCCTGGTACAAGGATAGCTTTACTTTACTTTACTTTTACCTCTGTGAGCCTCCATAGCTCAGACGGTATAACGACAGACTCAGTGGTGGGCAACCAAGGTTCAATTCCCGGCAGGAGCAAGTGATTTTGCTCTACTCAACAGCGTCCAGATCGCCTCTGGGTCCCCACCCAGCCAATTGTCCAATGGCTATCGTGCGTTCCTTCCACGGGGGTAAAATGGCCGGAGGTCAAAGCTGATTATTCACCCCCACTAGTGCTCAGATTAAGAATGGTGGAGTTACACTTCCACTCCCACATATATATATATATATATATATATATCTTCATGGCGTGATGTTTAAATAATTGAACACAAGAACATCTCTACCTTTTATAGTTCCAGTGCTCAATCTTCTTAAAATGCTCAGATGGACGATTAGTTTGATGGGAACCCTTCAACGTTAGTGGCCATGGCGTGGGCGTAAATTACGATCTGTTTGAGCTCCACGCTTCCTCAGGGAATGTCAGTTCTTCCAGATCAAGCACTTACGCCCTCCAAAATCAACATTCCCCCAGTCCTATCGAGTACATAATATCTTACTAATGTAATTTCGTCTCTGCTCTGTGATCGACCGCTTCCTAAGAGGACGATATCTCGCGTCTTGCACTGGCGTCACTTGCGCTCTCAAGAGTGACGGCGGGAGTCACGCCTCGCTGGTGTCATGGAGCGTCCCACACTGGAAAAATAATCCTTAAGCTCTTATAATCAAGAAGCTTCATAACTTGTACACTTCGCAAAGTATAATTAGAATGATGAAGTCAAGAAAAATGGGATGGGCAAGGCATGTAGCATTAATGGGGGAGAAGAGGACTGCAAGTAGGATATTTATGTGGAAAGCCAGTAGGTGAGAGAACACTAAGGGGACAAAGACGTAGATGGATGGATGATATTAAAGTGGATCTTAGAGAGATAGAATGGGGTGGTACGAACTGGATCTGCCTCAGGATGGGGACCAGTGGAGGGATCTTTTGAATATTGTAATGAACCTTCAGGTTCCATAAAATGTTCGGAAGTTCTTGAGTAGCTGCACAACTGGCGGATTTTCGTGAAGGGCTCAGCTCTGTGAAGTTACCAGCTCTTATAATCTTTGGCAGACAGCTTTCTTTCTGTCCCAAACTTTCTATGTACATTCGTTCATAACTCCACCTTCGGTAACATTTTTTAGTGATGTTAGTCGTGTAAATTCATTAGTAATGTTTATGGCTTGTTGCACTTCTGTACACATGTATTACCGTCTCATAGGCAACGTTTATTTTCTTTCTCATATTCATCTCATCTTACTATGAGATGTTTCGGCCGTATACGGCCATCGTCGGGTATGTGTGAGAACAGTTAAAATTGTTTTACTTTATTCTTCATTTTGTCTTAGTTAGTTAGTTAGTTAGTTAGTCATTAGAGAGTGTGGGTTTCCCCATGCACTTAGACCTGTAGTGGTCCATTGTGCTTCCCTCTATGATTTCTACCAGTCTCTATATCCTACCGGTATTGGTGCTTACCATCAGTCCCGCCCAGCCAGCGTGACCGGCTCTACTAGTTTAGAG